TTAAGTTTAAATCAATAACGGTATGTGGGAGAGAAGCTGGTCGATAGTTGAATTCCTCACTTTTTACGACATTTGGATATCTTTTAATTGACGAGAAAGTCGTATCTCCGTGCTAGTCGCCGTCAATCACCAATTCGCAAAACACTTGTTGCAATTTTAAGATCTTTAAATTCATTCTCACGAACAAGTAGTACCACGTTTTATTAACGTGTTTTATCTATGCATTCGCTGTATTATTATATTTATGATTTGGTCTACTATTTCGCTACTCTCGACATTCACGATGGCTCGCGTGACTTTCTTCTATCTTAGAATCACGTGAATCGCAAATGTTTCGCGCCTACGCGTTGTCGTTCGTACCATCCTTCGGAGCAATTCCGGTGAAGAAATTCTATTTTAGAACAATTGTTATTTTACGATCACATTTATATGTATACACAGTGTATCTCGTCGTTATTATTAAAACGTTGAGTTTAGCAGTCGGCAAAATTAAATTGCGTTGAAAATAAGCGAAGAAAATAGCACACATTTTATATTTGTCATGTTCAATCTTACATTTGTTGCAGAGGTACGCCGATATAAGGAAATCACGGACACGTACGCCACGAAGTTTCCTGATTATACGCTTTTGGACTTGCAATTGGAACTTGATCAAACCGTCTTCCGAAGCCGCTCAACATTTTGCGTGGAGATAAAGCCGAAGCAGGGATATTTACGAGAGACGGAGCAAAAGTTTCCTGGATGTCCGTATTGTTTGAATCAGTACGCCAAGGTATTCTTAATTCTCAACTACTATGAAAACTACACCTAAATTCTAAAGAGTCTTATTTGAAGTACAAAACGCCAGTGAACTTCTGCCTTACGGGCATTGATAAAGGAAGATTCAAGGTTTTTTTAGCTACAATTTAGGTCCACATAGTCCAATATCGTACAGTTAAATTTTTATTTTTATTTTGGATCCAAATTATCCATTGTTGTAGTTAAGTAGTAGAGGGTTAATAAATAATGACATTCACTTTCCAACAGGTTCAGCAAAAAAAAGAAAATAAAATATTGTAGTTTTTTAAAAACATATTTTGAACATGTTTAAAACATATTTAAAATATGATTTTTATCAACTCTGTTTTCGAATTTTCTTTTTCCAAATAACAATAGAAATATTATAATACTATATAAGTAAGATTAATATATACAATATAATACTGAAGATCATATACTAAAACAAAACAATTTTTTAGTTGAAGAGGAAAGACATTGCTTCTCCCAGCAATTATTGCCCGTTTGATTTGTTCTCTGGCAAGGAGCCGCGCATGAAAGCTGCCATGAAGGAGCTTCTGAAATCGCCGCAAAACAATTTGAAAATCTTCAAAAACGGTCTCGTCATCTACAATCAAACGTCCTCGCCGAACGATCTCGAGAATGTGCTGGACGAGTGGTTTCGGAATGCGGAGAGCGGCGGACGAGCTCGCCACGTCGACGAGTTCTGCAATTTGGTTTGCACCGCCCTTACGCGGCCTATCGCTCAAGAGCAGCTGAAACTGCCTACCACCTCCCTTTCACGTAATTTTCTTGTACTCGCGAATCAAGTTCCAACGACATTTTGTATCGCGCCAGACGCAGTTGCGAGAGTCGAACGGTGCCTTCGCTTCGTGGGAAAGGTAGATACTTAGATTGAAAAATATCATTTATTGAGAGTAATGTGTCATTGCATTTTAATTAATTTCTATCTTTTTTTCTTACAGAAGTGCAATTTTGATCACAATGAGTTGCCGAAGAACTCTGTGCTAGAACGAATATGGAATATGCAGCGATTGTCCTACGTCAATACCAATTATATTTACAATGTTTATTCGAATTTCACATCGTTACTAAATGATGATATGATATATTCTGACTTGATAAAATTAAATAAAACTCGTAATGTTTTTCACGCTTCGCTCGGAAATCCTATGGTAGGTGTTTTTAGCTATACAAAAGAAGGAATTTTTATTGAATACATGAATGCTTATCTTTTTCTATTCCAGAATGCAATCCAGAAAATAGAAATCATAAAGGAAATAGACTTTCAAACGTTTCTTAAGAGTACTATTGTACAAAAACATGACGATTTGAATAGAAATTGTAGTGCTAGTTCAGAATGTGTTTTATCTACTAATACTGGCAGAGTACTTAGGAACGGTGATCCTGTATCGCAAATAGAAATTAGTTCCAACCTAGATTCGCACCAACCATTTCATGGAAACAAGAGTCTGCATAATCAAAGAACTAGTAATGATGAGGAACGAAAGGCAAATGTGCAGATTACCGCCGAACATTTGTCAGCATTGCAAAATTATCTTTTATTTGTCGCCGCCAGAGATTGTTCGATATTAATGACCTTCCGCGAATTGCATCCGTAAGTGTATTGTTCGAAACAATGATCCGTATTTTCACTGCAGTAATATTTAAAGCGCCGAGACTAGTATAAATCTTATAACAAAGACAAAATTGGCGATAAAATTGATTTAATGCATTAGCTCTGAGAGGAAATCCGCTTTCTAATTATTTTCTATAGTTATTGTCGAAACCGTATAATAGTCACCCAATACAGCACTGCAGCAAATAAATAGCTACTTTATTTATCCGATTATGATTATTTGTTTTGGACTTAATATAATTATAATCAATTCAGAATAATATGATTCATAATTCACGCGTACAACGTGAATCATTATTTATAACGGCAAATGTGCAACATGTGGGTGATTATTACTTTCACCATATTAAACGCATTTCAGATAATTAGATATATTATGTTCCAGTAATTATAATTTTTTCTTTTTACAGAGAGAGGAAATATGCATCAAGAATGCCTGTGGAAAATATTATAAAACTTTCGGATCAATATTATTTTTTAAGCAACATCAGAATTTCCGATTTGGACCCAAAGAGCGTTCATTCCATCAAAAAGCATCGACAACGAGATGTGGATATTTTTGATTCTGTGATTTCTTTGCTGAAAGAAAATATTCCTTTTACGAACAGATAATTATCCAAAAAAAGTGATACTAGTAACTATACAGTATATTTAACGATAAAGAATCTATTTAACATAGAGGAAACGTTAACTGATGATTGCTTCCCGATACATACTTATCAATTATGAAGAATGTGATTCGTATGCGAATATATCTGTATTCTATAGAAAGCAAGAAAGATATTGCTGTTATCGTTCGTCAATTAATATTAAATTGAATATCACTTCCACATGTATAATATTATATATAAAACTATAGATAAGCGATCTCCAACGAATATATTTTTTAGAATTCTATTTAACTTTTTTAACTTTAAAGTTTACAGATTACAAAAAAAGATAGACATTTTTATACCATAAAATGGAAATTTGTTTCTAGACTATAAAATAATATTATTATTGGCATTATATTTGTTAGTCTTTTATATTGCGAATATATTCAATGGAGTAATTATGAATATATGATATTCGATTTAATATAATTGTTTAACTATATGTAAGGATCTCTTATCAAAAGACTAATTTAAAAAAAAAATACAATTAGCACGCTATTTAATTGTATATTGTTAAACTGAAACTAATTTTAATGTTCCTTCTTTACATTAAATAAGAATTACGAAACGAAATATCCAATAAGAGTGCATAACACATAGCATAAATTTGTAATTTGAATCTTAAGATGAAGAAAGATTGTAAACAATTTGCTGTTTGTCATAAAGGTAAATTTTAATATTGTTTAAAAATATCGAAAAGAAAACATTTATTTTAAATTATTAATTATTTAAAATCATATTTAAAATATAAAAAGAATTATATAATCTTTCGCTAAAGAGAATTTAAATTAATATTTTTAAAATCTTAATTATAAGTTTTTTATTTAAGTTTTATAAATAATTTTGCTTATTAGTAGTAATTTTTTCTATTTAAAAAGAGTTTCATTTGTTAAAAGAGTGGAGTTAATCAGAGAGAGAGAGAGAGAGAGAGAGAGAGAGAGA